GGGGCGCTGCCGCGGCCCGCGCCGGTCCGTGGGTCTGTCGGGTCACCCCCGGAGAAGCGGTCTCTGGTTGTCGCCGACATGGTGGCTTTGCCTGGGGTGAAAGGACAACCCCGGAGCATCCTCCTCTGGCCATGGGAGAAGCATGGACCCTTTCCTCATCCACGCAGGGGCTTCAGCCAAAGCGGACCCACGCGTGCCAGCAGACCCACGGGCCTGGGGACCCCTCTACCCCCTTTCTTCCGCCCCTGCCCACACCTGCGGGGTTCCACCACTTCCCTGGAAGTCATTGAAGAGAATTCATCCCACGAGCATGGGGCTGCAGCAGCCTAGGAGCAAAGGGTGGGCTGGTCAGGGAGAGTCTCTGGAGACATCGTCTAGGAAAACGGCTTTTCCTCGAAAAGTGATCCTCTGCCAGGTTGTGAGGGTCGATGCCCTTCAGCTCGCAGGCACGGGGATGAGATCGGGGCTGTCCATCCCCCAAGGGCTGCGGCACAGGAAACACCGGCTCCTCAGGTCCAGAATCGCCTGAGACATCGTGTGCTGGTGGTGACGCTGGGGTGCACTGGAAGGGGCCGGTCCTGCTTCCCCCGGTGACACGGTGTTTCTGCTCAAGCCCAGCCTTGACCTTTACCCAGGCACATGTGCGCAGCGGCTCTTGCAGAGCTTGCAGGAATTGGGGTGGGAAATCAGGAAGTGACCCGTGACGCCAAGTCCCGTGCCTGCAGACGGGCAAGTCCTGCCGAGAGGCTGCAGCTCCCCAGCCCCACGGCCGGGGCTCTGTCTCCCCTCTGACGGCAGCGGATTCGGGGGGACGAGAAGTGAGTTCTCTCGCCATGTCTCTGCTGGCGTGAGGACACCCGTGTGCCATGAGCCTCGAGCTGAGACCCATTGAACTCGTGTTCTCTGCGCTCCCATCGGTGCCCAGGTCGTCCCTCATTAATGCACCGTATTAACGCTCACTGTGTCCTCCTTCATCCCCTTGTAGGAGCGGTGAAGTGCCTGACCCTGCGCTGCTGCGGTCCCAGCCTGCCCATCCCCTGCCCTCCCTGCCTGATGGAGCCAGCACCAGCAGAGTATCCCGCTCGAGGCCGACGGCGGAGCCTGGTGCAGGAGCACTAGTGGGACGTGGACGGTGGCGGGTGCCACCCTAGGAGAGACGATGGCGGGTGCCACCCTAGGAGGGACGATGGCTCAGGGCACTGGGAGCATCAACAGTGACTACAAGGATTGGGAGTGGAGTGCTGATGCCGGGGAACGGGCCAGGCTCCTGCAGAGCCCCAGCGTGGAGACGGTGCCAAAGAGCGGAGAGAGCCAAGGGAACGGCCTGGGGGCCACGTCAGCTTTGGGAGCCGTCTTCATCGTGGTCAATGCTGCCCTCGGGGCTGGGCTGCTCAACTTCCCTGCCGCCTTCAGCATGGCTGGCGGTGTGGCTGCAGGCATCGTGCTGCAGATGGTGAGAGGGCAGGGAGGGGGACGGTCCCCTCTCCCACCCTGTGAGGGGATATGGGGGGGATGTGCGGAGTCCGAGAAGGGGTTTGGGAAGGATCTGGCTCCTGGGAGGGAGCCCTGTGGGGTGAGGCGCATCCGAGGTGCTCAGCGCGTTCAGGGCAGCTGCTCGGGGTGGCTTTGGGGAACCTTGTCACACTGTTGCCTGAGTGTCCCCTCCCCGTCTCTCTCCCCACTGCAGTGCATGCTGGTTTTCATCATTGGAGGCTTGGTGATCCTGGCGTACTGCTCGCAGGCCAGCAACGAGCGCACCTACCAGGAGGTGGTGTGGGCCGTCTGCGGGAAGGTGCCTGGCGTGCTGTGCGAGGTGGCCATCGCCGTCTACACCTTCGGCACCTGCATCGCTTTCCTCATCATCATCGGAGACCAGGAGGACAAGAGTAAGTGTGTCTCACGGGAAAACAGTCACCAGTTGCTGTCCCTTTACACGGAAAGGGACAACGTGGCCGCCCTGGCTGTCCCCACAGTTATCGCTGCCCTGGTGACGGAGCCTGAGGAAGCTGGGAGCAGCCAGTGGTACACGGACCGCAAGTTCACCATCAGCATCACTGCCTTCCTTCTCATCCTGCCCCTCTCCATCCCCAAGGAGATCGGCTTCCAAAAATATGCCAGGTGGGTGAGGAAAGCCCTCCAGGGCTGGGAGCTGGGGTGGGCCACCCAGCACCCTCCTAAGCATGGTCCCAGGGGACAGGGAGTGGAAACGTCTGGCTGTAGCCATGAGGGGTTGGACATCTCCTCTGCTGTCTCGTGCCTCAGTTTTCCCTTCTGGGAAGCAGAGGAGCACCACGCAGCCACAGCATCGTACACCAGAGCTTGTGTCCCTCTCTTCGGCTCGCTGGAGGAAGCAGGGAGAGACACTTTGAGCTGCATTGTCCCCTGTGTGTGGAGTTGGCCATTCAGCAGAAGGGGGAGGCAGTAAGGGTCCTCAGGATGAGTGGACTGCAGGCCAGCCCTGCTCCACCTCGGTGTACTCTGGCTGCTGGAGCTGGACCAGGGCCACTGCGGAGCGTCACGTTGTTAACACCTGCCCCAAACGCAGCCCGTCCCCTTGCTGGCAGGTCTGCCACTCACAGTGGGACAGAGCAGCCCCCAAGTGCAGTGGGATTGCATTGGCATCTGCACCAGGGACAGTGCCTGGCATATTCCCGTGGGAAGGACTGGGGGAGCCTGGGCTGTGCAGGGAGGAAGATGGGGCTGGGAGAAGACCCTGCGCAGAGCGGTCAGGCAGTACGGTGATGGTGTCCTGTCCCTTCTTGCAGCTCCCTGAGCGTGGTTGGCACCTGGTACGTCACGGCAGTCATTATCATCAAGTACATCTGGCCTGACAAGGAGCTCATGCCTGTGGAGATCCCCACCAGGTGCGTGCACGGGCAGATGCTGGCAGTGGCCATCACAGGGCTGCAGAGCCGGGCAGGGCTGTGGAGCCAGGGCTGCAAAGGCTGGATCCTGCACGAGTCCCGTCCCTGGGCCTGGGCGACTCTGCGTGTTGCTGCCAGAAGTGGCCGTATCTCAGTGTTTCGGAGGAGCAGATGGTGAAGGAGGGGGAAAAGACGCCTTGGAGGTCCTCACAGCTCCATCGCAGGGTTTGAGGAGTACTGGGTGACTTTCAGCTCCAATACGCCCGTGCAGTGCTTGTGCTCACCCAGCAACAGGGGCTGTGTCTGGTTTAGGATGATTTTGGGCATTCCCTTGGCCAGCACAGCTCCTGGGGCTGGTGAGCAGAGGAGTGAGCTCAGCACCGAGCATCCCCAGCTCTTCCTCTCCGGGATGCTGGGGGGGGGTGTCGGGGGGCCGTGGTCTGACCGGTGGGTGTTTCTCTCCTGCCAGCCCCTCCACCTGGATGGCCGTCTTCAATGCCATGCCCACCATCTGCTTTGGCTTCCAGGTAACAATCATAGAATCATAGGATCACAGAACGGTTTGGGTTGGAAAGGACCTTAAAGACCATCCAGTTCCAACCCCCCTGCCATGGGCAGGGACACCTTCCACTAGACCAGGTTGCTCCAAGCCTCATCCAGCCTGGCCTTGGACACTTCCAGGGATGGGGCATCCACAGCTTCTCTGGGCAACCTGTCCCAGGGCCTCCCCACCCTCTCCGGGAAGGATTTCTTCCTGATACCCAGTCTAAGGCCACGAGCCTGGTTCTCCCCTTCTCACCCTGCAGCTGCCTGCGTGGGGGAACAGAGTGGTCCAGGGACGCTCCCCTGGCTGTTCAGCCAAAACCCTCCCCGTGTGCTCACCCAGTTTAACATGTCACCACCCCTGGATGGAGACAGATCGATTTTACCCCAACTGGGAAGTCCAGGGCAGCCTGTCCCCCAATTTTTCTTCTCCAGTGACAAACCCGGGGGATCACAATATTGCCACAAACCCGCGATGTCACGCGTGAGATTCCCTCGTGACTCCGTCTCAGCCCCTCGTGTGTTCCCGCTCTCTCTCCGTGTCCCTGGCAGTGCCACGTGAGCAGCGTGCCCGTCTTTAACAGCATGAAGCAGCCGGAGGTGAAGACCTGGGGGGCAGTGGTGACGGCAGCCATGGTGATCGCTCTCTTCGTCTACACGGGCACTGGTGAGCGAGGGGGTGCTGTGTGAATTTGGCACAGTCCTCGGAGGGCCTGTGAGCTTCTGGAGGGGAGGACGCTCTGGTGAGCAGAGGGACAGAGCAGGAAGGGAGGGGAGTCCATCTCACCCCCCCTGCGATGTGCCCTGTGCCACATCCATCCAAGTCTGGTCTCTCTCATGCATGCAGGAGGCTTGTCTCCATGCCCCACTGACTGCTCCCTTCCCGGCAGGTGTTTGCGGCTTCCTGACCTTTGGGGCTGGCGTGGAGCAGGACGTTTTGATGTCCTACCCCTCCAACGACATCCCTGTTGCCCTCGCCCGGGCCTTCATCATCCTCTGCGTGCTGACGTCCTACCCCATCCTGCACTTCTGCGGCCGGTGAGTGCCAGGGAGAGGCAGGGGCTGGGGGCAGGGGGGCAGGAGGGGCAGCATGGGGAAACCCCCCTGCCCTGGGTCTTTGCCCACAGAGCTGTCTTGGAGGGTCTCTGGCTCCGCTACACTGGGGTGACGGTGGAGGAGGACGTGGTTCGGGAGCGGAGGAGGCGTCTGCTCCAGACCATCAGCTGGTTCCTCCTGACCCTCCTCTTGGCTCTCTTCATCCCGGACATCGGCAAAGTCATCTCGGTCATCGGGGGCTTGGCCGCCTGCTTCATCTTCGTCTTCCCAGGTAGGGCATCCTGGGATGCTCAGAGGCCAGAGGAGGTCTCTTTGCCTTCTCTCTCCAAGAGGGAGGGAGACGCAGGAACCAGGAGGCCTTTAGAGAAGGCAAAAGTGTGGCACGAGGTCAGCTGGCATGAGGACTGGGCTCTCTGCTTTGTAACAGGCAGTGCAGCCCCATGGCTGGTGGGGTGTCTGCTCAGCCCTCATCTGGGTTTAATTTGCCTCCTCTCCCTTTCAGGGCTCTGCCTGATTCAGGCCAAGCTCTCCGAGATCCAAGAAACCAGGGCAATCAGGTAACCAAAACGCGCTTCCCTTCTCCCCTCTTCCCCTGCGGATGTTGGTGAAGGTCCCCTCTAAGCATGCCCTGTCCTCCTGTATCTGCAGCTGGTGGGCCCAGGTCAGCTACGGCGTGTTCATGGTCACGCTCGGAGCCTTCATCTTTGGACAGACCACTGCCAACGCCATCTTCGTGGATCTCACAGCCTGACTCCTCCTCCAGGCTGGACCACGCTGCTGCTGTGGGGACGCAGATTTCCCCTAGGACCAAAGGGAAGCAGGGAGGAAACCTGTTGGGAAGATCCAAGAGGAGCATTGTAACCTGGGGCTTGGCTGAAAGAGCCCCGCGATGGTTTGTAGCTCGTTGTCAACGCACCAGGCAGTCAGGTGTCTCCCCTCAGCCCTGACTCCCTGGTGAAGCCAGAGCATCACTACGAGGGGACCCGTTCTGCCCCTCCAGGGCCGGCATCACTACCTGAGACGTGACTGAGGGGTCGCGGTTGGGTTTGCGAAGGCATGCCGCTCTCACCCGTGTACCCCTGGGCTAGTGGAGCTCCTCTCCACAGCTTAAACTCCTCCTTCTCCTAACATTGGAGGGAGATGGTATGTCTTGCATAAAGGGAACTAGTAATCATGTTTATCGGACAGGGTGACATCCCCATAGTCCTCTTCTTTGTCAGTGTTTGGTTTAATTGCTTTCCCATGGCTCATCTTGCCAGGCTGCTGCCCTCACTCTTCCATCTCCCTCCGTCTGGGCTGCACTTTCTGTTACAACACGGGACCATCACCTTCAGCCCGAGTGTTTTTTGGAGGATCAGGACAAGCCCGGGGTAGGGACATGCAGGTGCAATGTTTCCCCTGCCAGGGGTTGCTCAGTCGCTAGAGAAGGTGCTGTGGCTGCATCTACCTCCTGGAGACACTACACTAGAGCAAGGCTCTTCAAATTTCCAATCCTGTTCTTCCAGGAGGTGTCCAGGGAACAGGACTGGGCTGGATGTAGGTTTTAAGGAATGCTTTAGGGATAAAGCAGTCAGTATTAATCCCTTCTACATTGTTCTCTTGGTCGTTTACGCTCTTGGTGGCTGTCGTTGCTCTGGGCTATCCCTGCGTCATCTCTCTGGATGATGGTTTCATTTCTGCTTTTGTGGATTGAGCAGTTCCCCCAGCTGCAGTTCTGGCTGGAGGAGTTAAACCCCAACAGCAAACTGCCCATGTTCAGTCTTCAAGTTCCCTTCTTCCTTGTTTGATTTCTCAAACCCTGAGGGAGGAATTCACATGTATCTATCACTGCATCTGTGATCAGGGTCCAGCCCAGCTTTGTGCACCCCCTGGCTTTGCCTGTCCTTCATCGGGGCAAGATGGGGAGACCCAGATGGAGGAGGAGGAAGAGAAGCCCCAAACACAGCGTGAATGTTTAAGGGACTCTGTGAAGGCACGTGTTCCTCTTGCCTCCCCCAAGGCACCTTCAGCCTTGGTGCCCTCAACTTCTGACAAAACCAGGCTTCAGCAGACCCCTCATTCATATGGCACCGGCTGCCTCCCAAGCCCCTTCGCTCGGCTCCTGCCTGAGACGCAGCGCTGGGGCTTGGAGGGCCCCTCGGCATGAAGACGGGAGTGCCCACGCTGACAACACCCAACCCTGCAGACCGCTCCTCTTGGACATGGGGAGCGCAGAACCACCTCCCATGGAGCCCAGCAGTGGTCGAGATGCTCGAGGCTCAGCAGATGCCAATGCTGAGATGCCTTTTGGTGCCCATTCCCCATGGTGATGGAGGGGGGTCTGGTACCTGGTGGCTTTTGTGGCTCTGGCAAGGTCCCATGGCTGAAAAAGCACACGGTGTCCCATATCTTTGGTTGTCACCCAGGGAGCCGCTCCATCTCCCAAGGGGTTGAGAGCAGGAGGCTGCGGAGGTGCTGTGGCTATTTCTGTTTGCCTTACCGCTCCCCTGCCTGTTTACAAACACCGGCCTTTTTAATTGTATTTTCTACGTGCAGAACGCGGAGGGACCTAGACTCAATAAAAGTGATGTGGTGCGTACGCTGGGCAGGCACGAGGTGGTTTCTCTGGGGCTGGGGGAGGGAGATGCTCCCAGTTGGGATGTGGGGATGAAGCCGTGTCCTGAAGATGCCATCCTGAGCTTTGGGGTGGAGAGCACGGGGCTGGGTTTGGGTGCTGACCCCTTGGCAGGGGGTGGGGAGTCCCTCCTCACGGTCTCCTACCCCGGGGCACCCTCGCAGGGGAGAGCCTGGGGGTCCCGAGCACAGTGTTGGCGCCCCAGGGCTGGAAGGTGGGTGCGGGGCGCCTGAGGCGGGCGAGAAGGGGCCGCTCTGGGGTGTCAGGGCGCGGGGCCGTGAGGCTGAG